AGACGACTTTTACATCACATGCGCTTTTGCACACGACCTTTTACATACACCAGACACGTTTGCATCCAGAACGGTTTTTACACACAGACGGTGTTTAAGACACACAGAAGCTTTTACATCGCAGATCTTTTCGAGCAGACAACAGAGACTGTAATTTAGCACACCGAAAGGGTCCGTTACATCACGGTCAGAACGCCTTTTAACACCGACGCTTTTTTATACAACAGACGGCTTTTACACACAGACGCTTTTACACCCACAGACACTTTTACACACAGACACTTTTACACACAGACGCTTTTACACACAGACGCTTTTACACACAGACGCTTTTGCACACAAAAGCTTTTACACACAAACACTTTGACACACAGACACTTTTGCACACAAAAGCTTTTACACACAGACGCTTGCACACACAGTTACACACAGACGCTTGCACACACCAGACGCTTTCACGCACAAACGCCTTTACACACAAACACTTTTACACACAGACACTTTTGCACAAAAGCTTATACACACGGACGCTTTTACACACAGACGCTTTTACACACAGACGCTTTTAGACACAAACACTTGACACACAGACGCTTTTACACACAGACGCTTTTACACACAAACACTTTCACACACACAGACGCTTTCACACACAAAAGCTTTTACACACTTTTTGACGACCGAACCTCGTTTCGTGCGAAAGGGTTGCGCGGAGCAACTTGAGATCGCAATTTTACCGCAGTTTTTGACGATCGAACCTCATTTCGTGCGAAAGGGTTGCGCGGGACAACTTGACATCGCAATTTTACCTCAGTTTTTGACGATCGAACTTCATTTCGTGCGAAAGGATTGCGCGGGACACCTTGAAATCGCAATTTTACCTCAGCTTTTGACGCTCGAACCTCGTTTCGTGCGAAAGGGTTGCGCGGGACACCTCCAAATCGCAATTTTACCTCAGTTTTGGGCGATCGAACCTCGTTTCGTGCGAAACGGTTGCGTTTCGTGCCGTCTCGTTGACACTGCCCCTGCCCCCGCCTTCAGAAGAGAACAAGACGACGGATGGCCCGAGAGCGTAGAGGAGCAGGGTCTTCTCTTGTTAGTATGGAGACACCATATTACAAAACAATATATTAAAGATGTGTTATAGGCAGTCGAGAAGAGGAGTATCAGTATCAAGACAATATCGCATAAGTACAAGACAATAGTTTGCATCGCAAACACTTTTACACACAGAAGCTTTTACACAGAGCAAGCTTTTACACAGAGAACCCCTTACACAGAGAAGCTTTTACAGACAGGACTTCTACACACAGACGCTTTTACACACAAGGCACTTTTACACACAGACACTTTTACACACAGGCGCTTTTACATACACAAAGCTTTTACCCACAGAAGCTTTTACAGACAGAAGCTTTTACACACAGACGCTTTTACACAGACGCTTTTACACACAGACAGACACTTTTACACACAGACGCTTTTACACACAGACACTTTTACCCTTTTACACACAGGAGCTTTTACACACAGGAGCTTTTACACACAGAAGCGTTTACACGCAGACGCTTTTACACACAAAAGTTTTTACACACAGGAGCTTTTACACACAGGAGCTTTTACACACAGAAGCTTTTACACACAGACACTTTTACACACAGACACTTTTACACACACACACACGCTTTTACACGCAGAAACTCTTACACACAAACGCTTTGACACATAGACACTTTTACACAACAGAAGCTTTTACACACAGACGCTTTTACACACAGAGGCTTTTACACACAGAAGGTTTTACACAACAGAAACTTTTACACACAGACGGCTTTACACACAGAGGCTTTTACACACAGAAGATTTTACACACAGAAGCTTTTACACACAGAG